GTCAATCGATCTCTGGAGATAAAGTCTCTCTTCAAAATCCACATCGTTCTTGGATAGCCTTTATTTGTCTTTGCCTTCTACCATTTCATCGTTGTTTGCCTGTCTGAGGCTCTCTTTATACAGTTGTGCACTCCAATCGATCTCAAATCCTTTCATAGCCCACGCCAGCTCATGTCCTTCATCATTTCATTTTGATTGCTGATATGTGTTTGATTCATTTTCAATAGTGAATTGTGACTTTCGTATGTTTGGATTTGCTGCGAGTTCTTTTCCAACTAATTAATCAATCAATCCATATGTGAAGGATCTGCGATTATCGAAATTCTTCTCATCTAAGGCCGGTCGCCATGGACTTCGACTTGAACATGGATTTCTCATTCCTAAATGGGGATGATCCGACATTAGGCATGGTATTGGCGGCCGATGATAACTCATTATGGGAAAATTTCTCTCCGTTTCTAGATGATCCTGAAATTGTTCCAGAAGGTGCGCTTAATACAATCTCTGTTTTCGTACTCCACATTAGCTGACTCTTTTTTCAGCTGCTGAAGATACATTCTGCAGCAAAATGATCTCACAATTGGAAGGACTTGAACAATGTGATGACCACAGCTATGCTGCGCTATCACCAATGAGTTCGCCTCGGCAAGGTTCAATGAGTCTTGGAAGCAACTCGCCTACGAATACGTCGGGTTCAGAAGGTGAGCGATACTCTCTCGAATTTGCCAGTATAGCTCAACTCGCCAAAACTCGCTCTGACTGTTCATCTTTAATTACGAAAAAAATATATGTAAGTGTAATTCATCTCCAGAATAGTTTTTAGACATCACTCAAATCATGACAAAAATTATTTCTTTCGGAAATTCCATTGAAATTTGTTATTCTGAACCAGAATTTTTTATTTTCTTTTCAATTTCCAAGTTCAATGGTTTCTTTCACTTTGATTTTAAACATTTCTAATGTTATGACGCAATTGGGTCGAATCCCTTTGACGTCAATTGGTATGGTTCTTGTCAAGGCGTT